GATCAAGGGAAGTAATAGTGTCACTGTATTCTGCTTTGGTCAGGCCCTCCCTGGAATAGTATGTCCAGTTCTAGGCACCACAATTCAAAAAGGATGTTGAAAAACTGGAGCATGTCCAGAGGATGGTGACTAAAATGGTGAAGGGTCTGGAAACCATGCCCTACAAGGAACGACTTAAGGAACTGGGTATGTTTAGCCTGGAGAATAGACAGCTAAGAGGGGATATGATAACCCTGTTTAAATATTTGAAGGGATATCATATTGGGGAGGGTGCTAGCTTGTTTTCTGCTGCTCCAGAGAATAGGACTCAGAACAATGGATGCAAGCCACAGGAAAAGAGATTCCACCTCAACATTTGGAGGAACTTCCTGATAATGAGAGCTGTTCAACCGTGGAACACACTCCCTCAGAGTGTGGTGGACTCTCCTTCTTTGGAGGTCTTTAAACAGAAGCTGGATGGCCATCTGTCAGGGATGGTTTGATTTTGAGTTCCTGCATGGCAGGGGGTTGGACTGGATGGCCCTTGTGGTCTCTTCCAACTCTATGATTCTATGACATCCCTTCCCACTAGGTACTGCAGCCTACCCAGTTTCTGCTGGCATGGTTGCAAAAACTGACCATTTCTTGCAAAAACAAATAAACAAAAACAACATCAGGCACATAAACCTTGTTTATCAAGGTGAATAATAATTTAGGGAGGCTTCTGGGAGCACTATGATCCCCTGAAAGCAAGTCAGGTATATGCTGCATGCCTTGTTTTCATGTGGGAAAACCACATTTTTTTTCTTGCAACTACAGCACAATTGGCAATGAGATGTGAGTGATTCATGGGGACACAGATATGGTCAGGAGGACTGCATATGCCTTTGTTGCTGCTGCTGCTGGGGTTGTTTTGTTATGTCTTCAAGCCATTTCTGACCTCTGGTGACCTAAGGTAACTCTATCATGGGGTTTTCTGGGGCTGAGAATATGAGACTTGCCCATGGTCACCCAATGGGTTTCCATGGTGGAGCAGGAAATCTACTCTGGTTTCCAGAGCCTAGAACAATGCTCAAACCACTATACGACTTTACTTAATCTCAGACATGGTTCACAGGCAAAAAGTGGCGAAAAATGTATTATTTTCTCCTTCTCATGCTTCCCTCTCTACCCCCCTTTGATATGAATATGATGTAGGATTCATGGATCATTTTTCTTACACTTTGCCCTGATTTTTAATGCACTGTATTTCCTGTAATAGGTGTTGTTGTTTCTTTGCCCAAGAACTAGAACAATGTAATTTTTTTGACAGCTTGCCTCCATTGGGAATTTCTTCCATAAAATATCTGCCTGGGAAAGAGAATGCAATTATGGTCTATATATTTAACTAGGTTCCTTCAGCACTATTTAGGTTGAATTGAGACCTGTAGCAGTTCTTGTTGTATGCCTTCAAGTCATTTCCAACTTATGGCAACATTAAAGCCAACTTATGACAGGGTTTTCTTGACAGAATTTGTTCTGTGGAGATTTTCCATGGCCTTCTTCTAAGACTGAGAATGTATGACTTGCCCAAGGTCACCCAGTGGGTTTTCATGGAAATTGAGTTCAAAATGCAAAAGTAATTTGCACTCAGTTAACCCAGTGGGAGAGATGAGACTCTGGGCTAGTCTACACATAAGTGTATTATGTGAATTGGTGCAGATTTTTGCACATTGACTCTTGTCTTCACTTTCCTGTTCTCATGTATTCCCCCTTCCTCTGATGATAATGTGCAGCCATGCAAAGTGAATGGACAGTTACACGTTCGATAATGAGCATCCTCACAGATATTCACAGATACTTTGGTATAAACTGTGATTCCTTTTTCTATAGACTGAGGAGCCCAAATTCCTCAAATTGCAAATGGGGGATCACATTCTATTCGAATAGAAAGAGGAGTATTTAAATATTGTAGTCAATTCCTCAGGCAAAAGCAAACTGCTGTAGCCTCTCATAGTTTGTGTATTTCTCCTCATTTGCCATTTGTCATCTTGGACACACTCTGCTGTTGCTTGGCCACATGTCCCCTGGTTTTCATATCTGAAATGTTGGCATATAGGCCCAAGACTACATTCAAGAGACATCATGGCATAGTGGTTTTAGTGTTGGACTACAACTCTGGAGACCAGGGTTCAATTCCCCATTCAGCCATGAAACCCACTGAGTGACCTTAAGCAAGTCTCAGCCTCAGGGGAAGGCAATGGCAAACCTCCTCTCACCAAGAAAATCCCATGATAGGTTTGCCTTAGAGTTGCCATAAGTTGGAAATGACTTGAAGGCATAAAGCAGCAGCAGCAGCAGCAACAACAACAGGCCAAAAACATTTTGACAGTCACTACCAAAACCCCAAATAGCATCTCCTGATACATAATGCTGTGAAAGCTTAAGATTAAAACTAATAATTGAGCATTTGATTCACTTTAATGCCTTTTAATCTGCTACTTGAGGTGGCTTCATTGCCCTGCTTTATGGTATGACTGGTCCTGCCATAGATTTTCATTAAATGCCTGTGAGGATGCATATTATAAATGATTTCCTGTCAGTTCCTGACAGATTTCCACATCTTGCCTAACAAGGCTTCTCACACTAGGAACATTTCTGATTTCTAGTCTGTTTGTAAAACCACTGCCAAGCACAACATGATAGCACTTTCCCTTACCAATCTGTGTATTCACTGTGAAAGCTGGTTAATTGCTACTGAAAGCATTTTGACACATCTTCAATCTGAAAAGATTATGCCAGTGTTTGTATATGTTAAGCGTGAACTTATTTACATTCAACTCAGTGACATCGATTTGCACATTTCCCCTGTTCATAGAATGTTTCTCCTTTACCCCATGACAACTATGTTAACCTTAAAAACAATATTAATTGCTCTATCTTCCAGCTTTTTGTTCTTTCTTTATTTTTTATTTCAACTGCTTTTCTGTGACATAACTAAACTCAATGTGTCTTTGTTGTTGTTGTTGTTGTTGTTGTTAACTTCCCTCAAGTTGATCTCAACTCATGGCGACCCTGTGGATGAGACATCTCCAAGACCCTCTGTCCTCCACTGCTCTGCTTAATTCCTGCAACCCCTTAATACCCGTAATCTCCTTAATAGAGTCCATCCATCTAGCATGTGGCCTTCCTCTCTTCTTACTTCCCTCCATCTTGCCCAGCATTATTGTTTTTTCCAAAGAGTCCTCCCTTCTCATGATGTGTCCGAAGTTTGGTCATCTTGGCTTCCAGGGAGGTTTATGGTTTGATCTGCCCTAGGACCCATTTGTTTGTCCTTTTGGCTGTCCATGGGATCCTCAGCACTCTTCTCCAGCACCACATCTCAAAGGAATTGATTTTCTTCCTATCATCTTTCTTAACTGTCCAGCTCTCACATCCATACATGGTGATAGGGAATACAATGGCTTGTATAATTCTAATTTTTGTGCTGAGTACACATGAAGATATAAATTACACCACAATTCCCACCACTTCTACTTCTCTGTTTTTTCTAAAATGTACCAACATGCATTTTAGTGGCAATGCATAGGTGGAAAAATGTGTACCGATGTATAAAATAGAGTTAGTGTGATGTACTGGTCTGATCATTGAACTACAACTCTGGAGACCAGGGTTTGAATCCCAGGTCAGCCATGAAAACCCCCTGGTGACCTTGGGCAAGCCACACAGTCTCAGAGGAAAGCACAGGCAACCCACCCAAAAAACCCCTGAGCAAATCTTAACAATAAAACTCTGTGATAGGTTCATCTTAGGGTCACCATAAGTCAAAAACATGTTGATGGTACACAACAAATGTATAAATGTTGGCCTTAAATACCGTAAAGGCACCAGATCCTGTCTGAGCTTGAAAGCTAAGCAAGGTCAAAACTGCTTAGTTCTTGGATGAGGAACCACCAAGGAATAACAGTTGCCATAAACTATACATCAGATGAAGGAATTGGCAAAGCCACCTGTATGTATTCCTTGCTTAAGAAAACCTATTAAATTGATGGGGTTGCCATAAGTCAACAGGCAACCTGAAGGCATATACACATTGTATAAAATGCTCACAAGAATGTATATTAGGGGATAAAATCTGTCATATATTTTGAAAATCTTGAGAAATATAGAGATGGGTTGAAATGGTGGAAGTGATAACAGCCACCCTAATCCAAACAGCTGACATGGTTCTAATATTGCATTATATATACTCTCACTGTGCTATTTCCAATCTTCTTTCCACCCTTAATGTTACATTTTAAGAACCTTCCATTCTTCATCCCATCAATCTTGATACCTGCCCATGGCCCTGCCAAATAGATGATAGCTTTGAACAGATATTGCAACATTACTCATTGCTTCCAATTAAGGATTATTTGATTACTTATTCTGGGAAAGAGAAACTAACATTGGTCATTACGAGTGTGTTACAGAGCTGCAGGGAGGAGGGGAGTGTTTTTTCCTCCCTTCATGTTTTTGAGGTGTGGGGTTTCCTCTCTGTCTTTAAAATTTTAAATAGGTCCCATGCCACAGAGAAGCCAAGACCTTGCTACCCCCTGCTTGTTATCTAAACTAATAAGCAGCAAATTGAAGTGATTCAGGAAATGTGGTATTTGTCAACAAGACTCTTTGGAGTGTTAGCTAAGCAAAATGATGCTCTCTAGGACCATGGTAGGCAAAATATAGCCATGGACCATATATACCCAGGGCTATTTTGTACCCACCCACCTGAGCTCACCAGTATATATGTGAGAGCTGGACAGCAAAGAAAGCTCATAGAAAGAAAATCAATTCATTTGAGATGTGGTACTAGAGAAGAGTGCTGAAGATACCATGGGCAGCTAAGAAGATAAACAAATGGATCCTTGAACAGATCAAACCTGAATTCTCCCTGGAAGCCAAGATCATAAACTGATGCTGTTATACTTTGGCTACTACATGAGAAGGGATCACTCATTAGAAAAGACAGTGATACTAGGAAAGATAGAAGGCAGTAGAAAGAGAGGAAGCCCACTTGCCAGACTCTATCAGGGAGGACACTGGCCTGAAGCTGCATGAGAGCAGAGGAGCATAGAGGGGATTGGAAAATCTCATTTATGGGGTTGCCATGAGTCAAAGCTGACTTGAAGGCAGTTAACAACAAATTAATCAAAGTCCCATTGATTTCAGCAGGTCAATTCTAAGAAAACTAGTATTGGGGTTACCCAAAAGTTGACAGAAAGAGGTATTTTTGTCAAAGTGCAGTAAATTTACTACAAAATATGATGATTAGAGAAATTCATGCAGATTTGCTATGGGAAAAATTCAGTCCTTTGGCCAGAAATTGCCCCAACCCTGTTTTTTGCACTTCTAAGACTGCACAAAGCCCCCACCACCTGCATACCCAAACAAAATTCCAAATAGATGGTGCAAATTGCTCCGAGAGGGTCAATTGCTGCTTCTGGAAGATTCCATGCACAGTAGATTGTTAATTAATTCATCCCTGATAACTCTGGCCCTGCCTCCCCCAAAGCAAATGGAAACTGGTCCCTTCCACTTTGGGTTTACAGTTGATGCTTGACTAATTTTGGAGGTCCTTCAGCCTGCTGAGAATGCAGATTTACAAAACTGGAAACCAGGTCCCTGTCCTAACACAGTTGTCCACCCTGAGGTATATCATAAACTATTCTCTCACTAGGTAAACTTATTATTTATCCAAACAATAATTATTTTCCTAAATCGCAATGAATCACCTAATTATTGATTTATAGCATGTCTTTCTCTCACAGATGGGATTTAAGGCAGTTTTTAAATGTAGAAATAACATATATATGATAGCTCAGTTTGGCACAAATTGAGAATCAGAAATACATACTTATCATTTAGGAATGTTAACGAAGTAAAAATTGTAATTCAAATGTCTGGGGCCACAAAACATTTTGGCAGGCCACAACAAATGATAATTTGAGAAACACATTTCCTCAAAAAACTTCGGAGAAATAAACCATTCCAAAGACATTTAATTGAGTGGAGACATCTAAAATTTGCAAGAATTGTACCTACATAGACTACCACTGCACAGCAGGTAGTGCCAATTAAAACCCACAGCTTTAACCTGTAACTAAGTAAATTGATTGATTAATCACACTAATTAATTGATTAGTGTTTGAGCTCCTCTGACTCCAGTAGAATGAACTAAGGAGAAAGATAGCCTTATTTTCTTCCAGCAGATGGTCACTTTTTGGGGGTTGCTCCTAGTCATTCTAACTTGTAAATGAAGCTGTTCCATTATAATACTTCCTCTACACATAATTCTTATATACTTCTTCCTAAAAATTCTAAACAACGAGAGGCTATCAAGGTAAATGGGGACGTATGAGAGAGTCTATTCTGGGATTGTTTTGTGGGATACAAGTAAGTGTGTTGCACAAAACCTTTGCTATGACCCAGCAGTAATGGAACAGCAGGAAGCTCCTCCCCTGTCAACCAAAATTTTTTAAAAAAACAATGGTTGAAAGATTTAAAGGTCGTAATGGTTCAACAGCAGGGACAGTAGGTTACATTGCCTGCTGAGATCTATGTTGACCACATGAGGTAAAGGTGGAGTGTCAGAAAACTCATTATTTGTCAGAATGTGCTACCCTGCTGTTTCTGAACATATTTAAAACATCTAAGGATGCTCAAGAGCAACTGTTGTATTTTGGCACTACTGCCTGTCTTTGATTCCCCCTTTTTAAGAAGAGAAAGGTAAGGCTGTGAGTGAGTCTTCATTTTACACAAATGTATTTAGGACTGATGGGCCAGAGACAACATACATTACTTAACAGTTTTCACTAGCAGCATTTTAAGCACTTTTATAGTATCACAGATTGTGAATTGACACTTTTATCATGCAATTCCTCTGCCATATTTATTAAATTTTTAAAGGGAGGGGTGGATACAGACTTGTACGTTTATGTTTTTGCACAACTTCCACAGAAGACTCATTAAGAAAGAAAAATTAGATGAGATGCATAATGTTTTTGAACTGGAGATTCTATAAGACCTACACCTCAAACCATCCTATCTCTCAGCAAGAACCTCATGTTTCAAAAAGAAAGCAATAGTCTAGTTTTCATGGAGGAAAGCAGTTCAGGGCATATGCTAGACTATCATAATTTCACTAAAATTAATTATTTTAAAATGTTTATTTC